ATGCGTTGTTTTCGCTTAATTAAAATAAAATATCTTGACTCTGTATAGTTTTAGTATAATGACATTTATAAGTAATTTATTGTTAAAATTTATTAACCTCTAATTTTAATTGTATACGCTGAAGAAGGTTGGAAAAGACAACCGAAACGTTCGAACGAATTTATTTCTGTCTGATATTTAATATGTTATACATCCTTTCACAAATAAATTACTAATTGATAGAATTTAATTAGCTCTTATTGCTTTTTAGTTGTTGATTAATTTATTAAAGAGCTGTTACAAATTATATTAAATGACAACAATTTTCTAATAAATATATATTCCGCAAGAATCTTGCATATTCTTATCCTTTAAGAAGATATTCATGTTATTATAATGAAATTTCCTATAGAGGAATTTATTCTTAATCATAGCTCACGCATCCTTTTGTTTACAGATAAATATCTATGTATTAAGAGAGACATACTTTCTGTAAGATTTTCTGCTTAAAGGAACTGCTAAGAGGAATTCCCTGCTTGCGAGTAGAATATTTTTTTGGGTGATTATGCTATATTTTTATGTAATGTTTTGCAAAATACGTTATCGATTGATGTAGACAGATGAAGATGATGATAAAGACTGTTGATGCGTATACAAAATAAAATAAATAACGAAAAGAAAATAACGCGCACAATCGAAGATACCTCAGTCTGTATAAAAATATTTATTAGTCTGTACTGTAAACTTATTACCTTGATGAACTTATATTTTATTAACCTGTACTTTGTACTTTTCTTAGGCAGGTAAGATAAGTGTGAAAAAAGATCGATGTCTCTACACTGCCAATTCACGCGTAACAGCGGAGAATTTGATAAGAAACGTATATATTTTTATCCACGTGTCAATTAAAATGTAGAATTGCGCCTTTTGACATTTATTTCATCACAATGGTGGTAAATATAAACATTCATTCTTCGATTATGCTATATTCTTTTCTAATGTTTGGCAAAAAACATTATCGATATATCATACAAGCCTGTTGATGCGTATACAAAATGAAATAAATAATGAAAAGAAATTATGCGCACAATCGAAGATATCTCAGTCACAATTTAAAACCGTGTGTGATCAACCGTATTATTTTTATCTTTTTATCTTCACTCTGAGGACGAGAGATAGGAGCCTGTAGCTTTCAAGATCTCTTTGAAGGAAAATAAATTCATAGATAGGAATTTTCCGGTCGTTATCTGATGAGAAATCAATCCTCAAAACATTATCCCATTGGCAGATTTTTTATTATTTTCACGTCAAAATCGTACCACGGATTGTCGTAAGCACTATACGCGATTTTTTTACTTATATGTGTCAGCGTCGCAATAGAGGTACAGTTGCACTAGAGTAGTCAAAATCAACACGTGTTTGTCAAAACTCAAAACTCAATACCGAAGATCTTTTAATAATAATCTAAAAAATATTTATTTGGATATTTTAAAATTTGCGGAAGTTAGAGCAGCAACAGACATTTCTCATAAAATTTAAAATGATTAAAAATTTTATATTAAATAAATTCTTTCACCGATCTTCGTCCAATTCAATAGCAAACTATCCTTTAATAATAGTCTATAATTAAAAAAATTATCACAATATAAAATTTATGGAAATTATGCAACTACAATTTTCATAAA